CGTTGACGCGCGCGCGCGCGCGAGAGAGAGAGAGAGAGAGAGAGAAAGAGAGAGAGAAAGAGAGAGAGAGAGAGAGAGAGAGAGGGCCGCGGGGAGGGACTATGTTTGGGTGTTTGAAATCTGTTCTGGGTATTGGATGCCGTTATAGGGCTACCACTTAAGCCCCGGCCTTGGGCCTTTCTTCGCTTTCAACCTTCGGTTCATTCCCCAAGGCCGCGTCGGTATGAGCGACGTGTTGCGGCTCAGTCTCTCGCTCTGACCATCGTTCGTTCATGCGCTTCCGTCTTGGTCGTTGCTAAAAATAGAGTCACAGGAGCCCTTTCTCGGCCTTTTGGCTTCAATCAAGTGTAGTTTCTGTTCTGATCAGTTTAATATCTGATCCTCGGACCATCGGAACAAAAAAGTGCTTGGTAAATACGGCAAAATTCTTTTTTTTGGCATGTCCAACCAAATTCGGTTGCCAAGATGAGTCACAGTCATGTCTTCCGAAAATTGCCATCCAAAAAAAAAAAAAAAAAAAGATAAAATGAAAGCCCATCTATATACTCTTTTTCTCTCTGAGTTAAAGTCTCTTGCCTGAAATTTAACTCTCTCATTTAGGACTTGACGATTGATTCCTCTTGTCAACTTCTGGTGTGTTCTCCCTACCTTAACCTCCTTGGCTGAAATTTAACGGTCTTGCAATGGTCAGAACGTACTTGTGCGTGTTTGTACAGGTGCAAGTACAAACTCGTGCAGGCGGAGGGCAAAGCAAGGAATTGTTGGTTCTGTGAACGATGTCAAATAGCTTTTTTAAACTTCAGGCATGACAAAGTTGCCGCTGCCTGTTTTTGTTGCCAATTTCAAACTGTGATGTGACATAAACGTACTTCCCTCAAAAAAAAATCATGGCGGTGCATTTTTCCATATTCTAACGGAAGATTCACTCTCCTCTTGCACATTTCGAGAGTAGCGCAGCGAGCCCGAGCGAGGCCCTTGGTCAGTAGTGGAGCGACGCCCTGTATCTCAACAGCTCTCGGGGCAAAGGTAAAGGTAAGTGCGTTTTTTCTTCTGTTTTTTCCGAAAGCCGATACGTTTTGTTTTTCTTTTCTTTTCTTAGTAAGCCCTGCGAGGCAGGGCAGTCCGTTCTATTTCGTTACTTGGGAGTAGTAAACAGCAGCATTCTTCATACTGTATTTCTGGGAAGATGCAGGAGAAGAGAAAAAAAAACAAAAGGGGAATCCACCCAGACCCAATTCGCCCCCCCACACCCATATAGCCCGCCCCCAGTTCGCAAGGGGAAAAAACTCTATCCCTCAAAAGGGAAACAATTGATGGCGCCCTATACTGAATTGCGACGACCTTGACAAGCTAACCTGCCCTACGACCGGTCTTAGGGACTACTGCGACAGGACCCTATTTTCTGCTGTCGGAGACCCCACACGAAGCCCCAAACGAAGCCCCAAACGAACCCGTCCCAGCGAAGGTGTACTGCAAGGCCTTACCGAAAACAGAAAGAAAAAGAGGAGACGAAAATGAAACCCACACAAGGGAGGCTGCGAACTGGATTTTCGCTTCTTCCACCCCCCTCGAACCGTGTGGCGGGGGGCAGGCGCAGCGAGCTGGCTGCTCAGGCGAAACGCCCGCCGTCCTGGCTGCGCCCCCACGCCCAGCGTGGTATCAGTGGTCACTTGTGTGGCGAGCCCGTTACTGCTGAAGAATGTGGGGTTTCGATGTTTTTTATTGTTATTTTTAATGGGGTCTGGAAATTTTCGGTGCGGACAAATATATATATCGTCAAATAGAACTGCCCGGTATATATATATATATATATATAAAAATCGGTGCAGACGTCTTGCGTATGATAGTGGGTTCCGACCCTTACTGGTCCCAGGGTCTACCCAGTATACGCAGCTAGCGATGGAGCTGATGAATCCGAGATCTAAGAGGGCTATTCTCTGCCTGTTGTTTCCTTCCTTGCGACAGCAGAGCCGTGGTTTTTTTTTTTTTTTTTTAATTATTATTTTATAGCAGAGCCGTGGTTTAGATCAGCAGCGGTCACGGTGAGATTATCGAGCGGAAGTCGGAAGCTGTGAGTTATTTCCACATCCGGTATTTGTACACGTGCAGGCGGTCTTCAAGAAAGGATGGTAGGTTTGTGAAGATGCTTTTGCCCAGCCCGCACTGGCAGGCAAAGAGCGAGTTGAGGTGGTCGTCGGAAAGGGCTACAGCTCAGGAAAGAAGACACGCAGGACACCGTACCAATACGCGCTGAAGAAATCGGTCATCTGAAAGAAAGAAGCAGCGACAAAGTCGGTACGTTATTGCGACGTTCTTCGAAGTACTTGCTTTCGCCCGAAGAGAATGCCATCTTGTCATGACGCCCATCGGCAAGATAGCTTATATTCCTTCATAACCATGGTGTGTTATCCCTGTTGAGTTTATCCCTGTTGAGTTTGGGAGAGGAGAGGTAACAGGAGAAACGAGTTGGTCGGTAGCGGCTGCCACGTGTAGTCTGTGAGCACATTACGTCTCTCTTTCTGCTAAAGTGGTTGCCGGATCGCCACGTAACGTCCTTGGGCACATGAAAGCCGAGAAAATTGGATCGATAGAGATACCGTTCGCATGAGCCCTTGTCCGATTGCTAGGTGTCCGCCTCTCGCTGTCCCTGTCAGTACTTAACCATGTCTCCGTCGTCTGCATCTTCATAAATCCATCACTCTTCCATGATCGATATCAGATCGTTTCTTGAGAACGAAAGACTTCTAAACTCTGTGATCAGACTACGTCATGCCTTGAAGTCCGTTATGGTTCGGCATCCTGGAAAAGCGGGGGAGCGAGCGAGCTAGAGAGAGAGAGAGAGAGAGAGAGAGAGAGAGAGAGAGAGAGAGAGAGAGAGAGAGAGAGAGAGAGAGAGAGAGAGAGAGAGAGAAAGGGGCGGGTGGCAGCTCTGTGGAGGGAGACGGGTGGAGTGTTTAGCTGTTCCGAACGGGGAGATGGTGATTGGACATACCCCCTCTCAAATCCTTGCTTTTGGTATAGTATCTTCGCGTATGGTCGAGGTTTCTAGGTGGGAGGCACTACAACGCGAAGACCGAGTCTCACGCAGTATCGTCGCCTGCCGCTGATCGAATCTCTGGCAGAGTCTCGTGGTGCAACATCACGCCTTCCCTGGGGGGGAGAGAGAGAGTCCGGTCCCCTGCACTCTCTTCGCTCCTGAGTTGGAGAATTCCTGCGCTGAAGGAATATTGTGTCAGTCTCTTTGCTATTCCAACGCATGGTCCGAAGCACCGACCAAAATTGGCTGGGAGAATTATCGATACCCCCTCGGCAAAACCTTCGTGTATTGTGCGATGACGATGACAACTGTCTCATACCGAATGCTTGAGAGGATTTTGTCCTTGACTCCTTGGTGAACGTTCGTTTCCGAGGAAGAAGATAAGAAGAGAAAAGCAATAGTGTGCAAGCGCAGATACTATGGTCGCCAGAGAATGAGGAATTATGCGAGTTCTTCGTCTGCTGTACAGAGAATATCAGTGCGTATATATCACTCCAAACACACGTCGCCGACGATGATAGATTTCTGAGTTGTCACGGGTCCGTACGAACACTGTTCTTTCCGCATGTACGTTTCCACTCGACAGTATATTTGTCTCTTCTCCGGTTTTGACCTCGTTCTCGTTCGGTATCCATTAGAGAGAGAGAGAGAGAGAGAGAGAGAGAGAGAGAGAGAGAGAGAGAGAGAGAGAGAGAGAGAGAGAGAGAGAGAGAGAGAGAGAGAGGCAATTGGAATGTACTTGGCATCTATATACGAGCGAGTGTCATTCCGGTCCCCCCGGGTTTTCTGCCCCCCTTCCCGCCGTCATCGTTAGCAGGGGATCATCCCACTCTCCATGATTCATTGTTGCACCCCGTTGATCATGGCCGAAAAGAACGATCAGGAACTAGGGAGTCCACTTAGTTACCTATCACGCCGTGTTAGAGGGGACTCTCTGTGGATCGGTATTTCCGATGGGGAGAGGCAAGCGTGATTTACTGTGATCGTCTTTTCGTTTCCTTTTTTTGCCTTTTGGTTTATTAGCACAGACGGTGAGGGTCGTGAGATATTGCTCCCCGTTGTCACCGGGCCCAGGATGAAGACTTGGGCCGAATTACCGATTTTCAACGTTTTTCTGGGAAATATACTTTCACAACAACCTTTCATGTTTAAAATACCTTTATTGATCGCAACAATGATACCCTAGCTCATGGCCGAAATACCCAATAGTACCAATACTACCCCTTTCCCCGACGTTCTCTGCTTTTTTTTTCCGAGGGTATATTTGTCAAGAGATATTAAAAAACGGGTCTTCTGTAAAAAAAAAAAAAAAAAAAAAAAAAAAAACCGGGTCTGTTTTTTTTTTTTTTTTTGCGAGTTTGATTTCTATTTGGCTTCACGGTCCGCACGTGGGACGAAGTGCTGCGGCTACCTTCTTGCTTCGAATACAACGTACGGTCATTGTAGCTCTGTTTAGTCTGAAAGATGCCCCAACTACAGCTATAATGACCGTGCGTTGTATTTGGGGGAAGAAGGTAAAGAGTTTTCTGTCAACGACCTGAAATAGGAGAAAACTGTTCTTATATTCGAATGAACGGTTTTACGTCCAATATCTTAAATCGTCCAATTTGCTTGAGGCTTTTCTTGTTTGTTTTTTTCTTTGAAACATCGTAAATTTTACTTTGCAGGGGCAATCGTTTCGCCAGAGGCATCTCTGGTGGATGCGTGCGTGTCATCCTTGTGCAGTGGAAGTGCTTTTCCTCTTTTTATTTGGGAAACACATTATCAGGGGTATTATTCGGAGTGTTATGAGGCCCGACAATACTAATCTTCGTCAGTTTTTGTTTTTCTTTTGTTTTGTTTTTTTTGTTTTCTTTTTCTTTTTGGTTCTTTCCTGGTGATCTTGTCGTGCAGCGTGTGTTGTTCTTATCCTCGATCGGAAGAGGTCACGTGCGGTCTCCTTGTCAACATACTTTTTTTTGGCGTGTAATCAAGGAATATAGTTATTAATTACTATGGATACAAGGCTGAGCGCCGGCGTGGAAGTTGACGATGACGGCGGTGTGCGAGTCGACATGGCTCGATCTCCGTCGAAGCGGAACGTCGTTCTTCCTCTCCTATTGCTCTTGGGAATGCTGCTCATGTCTACATACGTTGTACAACGGTCAGGAGATGGGGGGGCACAAGGAGGACTTGAAGCTTCAACACAGTACATCTCCTCCTCCTCCTCCTCCTCCTCGTTATCAAAAGGGGGAGGAGGAGGTAATGTCGTGGCTACTACGGAGTACGAGGGAGTTGATGCTGAGCTGGATCTCGATCTTGCCGAACTGGGTGAAATGCAAGAGTACGTAGACCGTCGATCGTTGATTAGTGCCGATGATCTGATTATCTTTAACTCAACGGTTGTCGTGGATCAGAAAGTCGTCCTTCGTCATACCGCCCGATCGCCGTTCGACACTTCGTCTATGTATTGCTCAACGGCCATCCGCAACATTTTATTCCACCCCAAGGAGACGGTAATCTTCTACATTCTCGACGAGTCATGTTACGCCAATGTCACAAACAAGCGGGTACGTTCGATGCACTCCTACTGGAAGGCGAACCTAAGCACGGTGGCGATGGAGATGTGGAATGGGACCGAGGCGGAACCGGTGCTTCTGAGCAACTGGTGGTCCAGCACCGAGAAGACGACCAAGAGCATCAAGAAATCGACGGTCGTTGGGGACACTGGATCCATGGCTCTAGTTTACGGCATGGATATTCTTGAGAATGCCGAGCAGCTTGTTCTCGGTGCAACGACGGAGGGAGAAAAGGAGAGGTCCAAGCTCGTCTTCATGGACACCACCACTGGCAATCGCGTATCCAACGCCTCGACGAACGTTGCCAACGTGGACTCTCTGGCATTCAATCCGAACCGTACGCAGCTGTACGTCACAGATCAGCTGTCGCCGTTCGTGAGCCTCTACTCCATTCCGTGGACAGCCGACGACAACGCAAATTTGTCAAAACCGAGGAGCTTCAAACAGGTCGGGAGTTTCGTGGCGGGAGGGGAACCGGATATACGGGACATGAACTTTCGTCGACAGAGCTTCGATCCCACGGGGAACTGTCTGTACTCTGTGGAAAACGGCAAGATCTGGGCCGTCGAGCCGATGAACGGCAAGGCGCCGACCCTGCTGGCAGGAGGCGGCGTCAGTAAGAGTGGCGAGCCCGAGGACGGTGCGCCCTTCAACGCGACTTTTAAGATTCCTCGAGAGCTGGTTGTCTCCCCAGATGGGTGTAATCTGTTCCTTACTGAGTCAGATGGCTACCTTCGTTGGATTACAATGAAATCGACGTGTGGCAGCGCTCTAGGTGTGTCTACGCTTATCACTACTATGGAGCTTGGTTTTCGTGGGTTGGGGCTTCGCTATAACGACACCCATCTCTTCCTCTACATTGGGGCATACGGAAATGACGCAGGCCGGTTATTCGAAGTAGTGATAGATAGGTCTAAACTACACACCTGCGAGTCTTCTCATACCACCCCTCCCCTCACCACCTCCCCAACTACCCCTCCCTCGACTTCCCCAAACACCCCTCCCCTCACTACCTCGCCAACTACCCCTCCCTCGACTTCCCCAAACACCCCTCCCCTCACTACCTCCCCAACTACCCCTCCCTCGACTTCCCCAAACACCTCTCCCGGCGCAGCAATCGACCAACCCAATCCTAGCTCCGAGCCAGCACCCTCAGGTATGACTGACCAGTCTTCCTCCTCAACCCCCTCTTAACCCCACGTTAAGATTGTTTTCGTCGTCCTTGGCAACGCCCTCGCAGGGCCACACCTAACACCGACCACTCTCTCTCTCCCCAAAACCCGTCTGGGTGCATACCATAGAATTATATAGGGGATAATCGGTAGATACGCCCGATTGAAAAACTTAACATCAGTCGATAAAATTAGAATGGTGATGGTATGTTCTAAAGGTGCACTCTTGTGCTAAGCACGGCTGAGACTCTTCCATCCGAGTCATCGCCCCCCTCTCCCTACAACAGCTCTGCCTCCTGATCTTTCACTTGCTCTAAAGAGTCTCAACGCTCCTCTCTCGCCTCGAAAAAATAATACTTGATTAAAGTTGATTTCGTATTTCATTCATCGCCTGCACAGACAAGGCACTAGACGGTTACTATCACTCTCCTCAGAGCCCTCACAGCAAAGTGAGAGAGAGAGAGAGAGAGAGAGAGAGAGAGAGAGAGAGAGAGAGAGAGAGA